TTTAAAAGTCTTTTATATAAATATATTCTTCGTAAAAATCTTTAAAATAAATACTTAAAATCAGTAAATAATGTTGCAAACTAGTTTATATTGATTTTGAAGTCATCATCAATTCAAGTTACAAGATCTTTATTATTACTTTTTTACTTGAAGATAAAACTCATTGCAAATATGAAGAATGATAGCACAAAATATTCATGTGAGCACAAAATATTTTATATTAGAATCTTTACCAATTTTCACAGGAACATCATAATATTTATTATTTATCATTCATCATTCAATAAATAGTTCAATATAATTTTGATTCAAGTTTGAAAGAAATTTCGTCGATCTTTTAGTAAAATTTTATTCTGAAAAAAAGGAATTATTCTGATAGAAACTTTTTTCATCAATTTTTAAGGTAATTAATACCATAACTAATAATTAATTGGGAATAGTCTATTAAAAATTAATTACATTATGAATTATAATTTTATTTCTAGCCGGAATTATAAAAGTTATACCAACTGAGCAAATACATATAATATGTAGTTGGAAATAAAAATCAATTACATACGAATATAAAATATAGTAGATTAATTAATTATTCAAAAAATGATGTCAAAAGAAATGTAATCTAGAACCAAATTAATCATTATTAATAATCGACCAAATCATTGCAATTAGTTTATATTTTTCCTATAAAATTCCAAACATTAATTTCTTATCATAGTAGATTTATTTGTTAGAAAATATAAATTTTAGATTATTGTTTCTTTTTTATACAGTCAGTTTTTTAGGTAAAATTGCGATTTTCACCTTCTATATTTATATTAATAATCAATTCTTTATAAGATCAATATTTCAGAATTGGAGTCACGCTAAGCCCTGTGAAGTGATTATCTCAATAATATTCCATTGAATTCTTTGGTTTTTGATAGTGTATCAAATTAAACCTCATTTTATGTGAACTTATTTCTAAAATCAAATTTATTGAGAGTGGCATGATATCATTTAAATTGACCTCTTATTTTGTGAATATTTTGTAAAAACTCAAAAGTGTACCTTAATTTTAAATCCCGGTTTAAAAATCTTGAAGTGAAAAAATTCAAGGACAGATTAGGGTTAAAAGATTCTTCAATCATATTACGATTAATTGGATAGACTCGACCAGGAGATTAAGCGTAAAGCAATAATTAAAAAATGATGCTTTCTTATAGAGAAGCTTGTACGGCACATCTCAAACTCAAAATATAGGGAATTATACATTATATACAGTTCATGCCATATAGTTGTTGGTGTCATGTGATTCCACTTTATATAGTGTTAGCTATGGCCGTTCCCAAAAAAGGAAGGAAATAGGTATAAATTTGGTTAATATTAATATCAATATTACTATCAATATTGATAAGAACAACGGTTATTTATATATGATTTTTTAAAAAAAATTGGGACAGAAGAATCACATGAATAAATAAAGAAAGTTTTTTTGTAAATTTTATTATGTAATTATGTAAAAAAAATAAAATAAAAAAAATAATGATTAGTTATTCTAATGATTAATTTTAAGTAATGATAAATACCAATAAAATCAAAGAATTCGTCAAAAACCTATGCTGCGGCAATGAAAAGCGATAATTCAAGAATATTGAGAATAATAATAAAATTAAAGAACAATGCATTAAAAAATAAATTTTAGTCACCTGTATTCGCCACCGATCAAAGATCCGGTCTAAGAAAAAAAAATAATTAATCAAATAAATAGATAAAATAAATAAATTAGCAATCAGTACTAATTACCAAAATAAGAAAAAGAAAAAAAAAAAAAATCAAAAAAATTAGTCAGCTTACCTTCGCCGCCCGGACGGTTCCGTTCGAAAGTTCCGTCCGGTTCTTAGCCTAAGAGAAGGGACCGATCAAAACTAAAATAAAAAATAAATAAAATAAAATATTAAATAAAATACATCAATCTAGTTGGTTATCATGATAAGTTATGTTAATTATTTTGATTTAAGCGTATTCAATGAATCCTTGAATGAACAATATAGTAGATTTTTCTTTTTGAATTGTCAATCTTAAAAATTTTATCTAATTGTTCAAATCGATCGTAAGATATGCCATATAAGAAGATGGTCTGTGGAGTTTCGCTTATATATTATTCGGCTGGATATTTATTATTGTACTTTTATTTTATAGAAATTAATAAATAATCCTTCTTTTAGAAATTCAATACATTCAGAAAATTTATCTTTAAATTGTGCCAAAATTGGAAGAAGTCATCCAGTTTAACGACTACAACCATGGTTATATCTTAAAATACCAATTTTTTCTTGCAAAATGTTTTGTGAAAAAATTGCCCATGACGAACATATTCCGCAACAAAGTAGTGATGTGGTAGTGCTGTTGGTGATGATGACGCTGTTGATGCTGTTGTTGGTGTTGTTGGTACTGCTTCTGATGGTGATGCTGGTGTTGTTTCTACTTATTATTAAGCAAAATCTTTTTTGGAAATCGTTTTTGGTAAGCAAAAAACATTTATATTCTCGTCAAAATTTGGGAATAAGCCACGAATCAGTGGGGTATATCATTTTTTGGACGTTCTACAAGTGAGATCAAAGAAGAGACATCTTAGATTCCTGACAGGATATTTCCTACTACGAAAGAGTAGTTAATGTTTTTATGAAAAATATTGTTAATTGGCGTAAAAAAAGTTTCTGAATAGTGTTAAGAAGATTTTACCACAATTGTTTGATCACAAAATAGAATATAGTCCTTATTTTTAAATATTTCATAAATCAATTCTGTCAAATCTTATCAAATACTAACTTAGAGCAAATACGAGTTCACGTTTTTACGATTGAACTCGCGATCTAACTCCCATGAAAATTGCGTAATGGTACATTGTTTTTTAAAGTATAGTAATAACTTGAATTGTCATATATAATAAATTCCTTTTAGATACTGGTAAGTATGGAAAATTTTGTTATGATGGGTCGGGATTTTATATTTCCATAGGTACAAAGAAGTTGCACACGTGATCAGTAATTTAACCAACATGATATTGTGAAAAATTCTATAAATGATTATGCCCTTCGATTATTAATTTCAGATTCACAACAGACAACAAAAATTTTAAAAGAGCAAGCAAAAGAAAAGAAATTTTTTTCATATCTTGATAGAAATGGCTTCGTTACATAAACGAAAATTTTATCACGAGTTGTTCTATTCCATCATTCATTATTTAACTATAGTTAAAATAATCTAATACATATTTTATAATTTTATTTATAGTTGATATAATTTATTTTCTTTAAATCATTCTAATAAAACATTTATAATATTGAATTTTATTTTAATGACTATAAATTTATAAATATATTTTTTTGGACATTAGGGAAAAAACTAAAGTAGTTAGTTATCTTCCTTGATACATATGTATTAATAATTAATAAAGTCGGATGATATATTGGTTTTTTTATAAGACTCGACCAGTTATAAAGATAGCAAACATATGGGAGGTTTGTTATTAAAATCGATAGTAAATCATATGATCCGTAACGTGATTTTACCTCCCATAATCATCAGATCAGACCGATCAGATCTATATAAATTGTGAAGTAATCCTTGGACGTTCACCATTTAGGGTGGGACTGTTCTATCGATTCCATTTCGGCTCCTCTTCTGCTTTACTTGACTCTTCTTAAGTTTTGTGTTAAGTTAAATTTATACTATGATGTTGACTGGCAATCCGACTCTTGTAATTCAGAAAAACCCTGAATTTATAATCGGTTCCAGAACCGATTCTGAGTCGCTCTTTTTGCACCTTCCCCATCCATATCACCATAATAAATACTCTAGCCAAGATTTAGAACATATTTTCTAACATGGAATGGAGTAAATTTCCATAATACCATCGAAGACCATATATCACTACACTAACTGAAGTGTAATATTTATCTCAAACCTTTGCATTTAATTAAATTATCATCAACTAGTGATTATATTTCGACAATTATTAAATAAATATAAATTTTTTTGAATGATATCAATAAAATTTCCTCACTTAATTTGATGAGTATTCATTTCTTATCTTTCAGATGACCAATCGAAAGGCCATCCAATCAAATGGCATTGTATAGAACACAAAATTTCTTTTAATAATAGAAATTCATCCCTGCTAGTCAAATTAGATGATACCAATTGACATCAATTAGATCATTACAACCGGATTCAAATTAGAAAAATCCTTTACTATCATAAAAATAAAGTATTAGCATCAATATAATTGATCACAATCGTATTATCTATTATTTTTTAAATGAAATTTGGCGATCCTTTTAATATCTATCTCTAATGTATCATTAGGGACACTGCGGAACAGTGATCCTGTAATAACAACGCCCGTGATATAAAATGAAATCACGTGTTACTGACAATAAATAAAGTTTCTTGTAATCATTTTTTTTTTTTTTTACTAATATTGCCCTAAAGCTTATAAAGTAACACATTACAATCTAAATCATTTAAAAATATTGAAACTTAAAAAATAATTACATTTTATCATACAGAAAAGCAAAGAAAAATTGACTTAACAGTAAGGTTCCCAATACAGAAACGCAAATAAAGTATAAAAAAATGAATCTAACCTCATGCCTACACGTTCTTGTTCCTTACTAAGACATAAGACATAACCGCATTGTATAGCCTAACTATACTAAAAGAATGAGACACGAAATAGCTCATCATTACCAAATATTAATCATATATCACCGATAATTTTAAGAAAGATTTAACGATACTTTGTTATCATTTGATCACAAATTTTATTAATCGATTTTTATAAAAACAATTTTAGCCTGTTTCTTGATTTAGCTGTAATTATCGTTATGTTTTCTGAATCTCATTATTCATCGATCGTCATGATACTTAGAATTTTTTGTAACTTCATAAGTTATCAATTTTATTATACACAAAAAATATATACAAACTACACAAAAGCACGGCGACTACAATCAAACTTATTGTAACTCATAAGCTGTGGCTGTTAAGTTCGTGTAAACTTCTTGTTGTACTTGACGGGACTATTGAGAAAGTTATTACATCAACGCAAAAAACAAACGAAATATTAAGTAATTAATTATTATCTGCACAGTTTTCTCGATTTTCGGATTGCTATTAATAGAAAAGGATTTTAGTAAATAAAAAATAATGACATTATTCATTGCATTAATATACACTTACATTTCTGGCGGTTCAGGCTCTTTTGGTGGTTCAGGCAATTTTGGAGGCTCAGGCTCTTTCGGTGGTTTAGGTTCTTTCGGTAGTTTAGGTTCTTTTGGTGGTTCGGGTTTTTTCGGCGGTACAGGTTCTTTTGGCGGTTCGGGTTCTTTTGGTGGTTCGGGTTTTTTCGGCGGTTCAGGTACTTTCGGCGGTTCAGGTTCTTTTGGCGGTTCAGACTTTTTTGGTGGTTCAGGTTCTTTTGGTGGTTCAGGTTCTTTTGGTGGCTCAGGTTCTTTTGACGGTTCAGGCTCTTTTGGTGGTACAGGTTCTTTTGGTGGCTCAGGTTCTTTTGGAGGTTCAGGCTCTTTTGGTGGTTCAGGTTCTTTTGGCGGTTCAGGCTCTTTTGGTGGTTCAGGTTCTTTTGGTGGCTCAGTTTCTTTTGGCGGTTCAGGCTCTTTTGGTGGCTCAGGTTCTTTTGGTGGTTCAGGTTCTTTTGGCGGTTCAGGCTCTTTTGGTGACTCAGGCTCTTTCGGTGGTTCAGGTTCTTTTGGTGGCTCTGGTTCTTTTGGCGGTTCAGGTTCTTTTGGTGGTTCAGGCTCTTTTGGTGGTTCAGGTTCTTTTGGTGGTGGTGCTCCAGGGGGCTCACCTTGTCGTTTTTGAAGTATTATAATTGAATCCTTCAGATAATATGTTGGTGTTGCACCATTAAAGGCAATAAGTACCGCAATAAGAACTATAAGTAAACAAAGTTGCTTGTATTTAAGTTCAACATAAATCATCTTAAGTCTAGTTGAAAAGTAAAACTTTTAGAAAGGATTCTTTTTTATGGTCATTTCGAGAAAAAAAAAATTTTTTATTTTTTTTAGAATAATTTATAACCAAAGTTGTCGTTACCTAACAAATTAAAATGTATTTAATTTTTAACAGCTGATAAATCAAATGTCTAATTAAGAAAATCTATAGTCGTCATATAGAATTCCTAAGTTGATCAACTAAGTACCGTAATTAGCCCTGTTCATTTCTAGATCGGATCGGATCGACCGAAAATTGAAATCAAAAATTATTGGCTACTGAAACGATCAGGTGAGCGATCAATACGATCAACATTTTTGTTACTCACCTTGATCGATTTTAATAAATTAAATTCAGATAAGCTGATTTTACAAGATAACGCGATTTTTTTTTAAATTTTTACCGCGTTCAAAAATGTCTAACTCAAATTCAACTTTTCGTTCAATTGCTCCAAAACCACAAGAATTTTTTATACAAAATCCAGACATTATAGCTATAACAAACCCCAACTCCTCGGTTTTACATACTTTTAATTCATTGCCACCGGTTGAACCTACTACTAATACTACACTAACACCCGCTAAACCAAAAATTTATAAAAAAA